ACAAGAGCGGTGGCGAAGTCAAGGCGGCGGGTAGAGGCAAACTCAGTGACTGCGGCAGTAAGAGCGGACACAGAGGACACAGAGGCACGAGGGTGGGTAACAAGAGAGGCGAGAACACGAGAGAGAACAGGACGGTACGTGCGGTAGTAGTCAGTGACAGGAGAAGGAAGCGACACAGTGAGGGCCGACTCAGGAGGAGACGGAAGCACAGACGGAGACGGACGAGGTGGACGAGAACAAAGGAAGGCTGTACGAAGGTCAGTGAAGGGAACAGGAGACGAGGGACGAGCACGAGGGGAGCGACGAGAGGCCCAAGTCTGAGAAGGAGGAGGAGACAACGAAGACTGAGAACGAGGGAAAACAGCGGGAGAGGGGTCAGGAGGAGGAAGCGGAGGACCAGAGACGGGAGGAGAGGGGGAGGAGGAAGGAGAGGGAGACGGGAGACCAAGGGTCCGAAGACCCGAGACAGGAGGAGGAGACGGCAGCAGCTGCTGCTGCTGCTGCTGCGGCTGCTGTGGCTGCTGCTGCTCCAGCGGCTGCTGCCTCTGCTGCTGCTCCTGCTGCTGCTCCTGCTGCTGTCGCTCCTGCTCCTCGAGCCGCTGCAACTCTCTCTCCTCTCTCTCCAACTCCAGCTGCTCCTCACGAGCACGGCGAACACGAGCCTGGAACCTGGTCGGGTAGGGGTGGGGGGAAGGAGTAGTGTCCGGGGCAGCGGCAGCCCCAGAGTCGACCTCCGAAGCACCAAGCACACCACCCCCAGAGGCAGCACCAACACCAGCTCCAGACCCAGGCTCTCCAGAAACCGAAGGGACACCCTCACCCCCAGACGCAGCACCCCCAGACTCCGCACCAGCACCCCCAGACTCCGCACGACCAGTACCAGCCCCCGGAAGACAAGAGTCCTCTGCAACCCGCGGCTCAGCTCCAACTCCAGCACCCCCAGAACCAGAGACCTGTACAGGGACAGTCGCAGGACCAACCTCCCGAGAGGGAGCACCTGCAGGAGGCGGCGAGGAAGACTGTGGGGAGGGAGGCTGTACAGGGGGGGCTACCGAAGGGGGAGGGCTAGCCTGAGACACACCAGACGGGGCTGGACCAGGGGGGGGAGGCTGTACCGGGGGAGCAGGCGGGGGAGCGGCGGTCAGGAAGAGAGGGGGGGGAGGGACCGGGAGACCTCGACTGGGGTACCTGACGTAGTAGGGGGTGGACTCCTCGAAACGGACGTCACGGGAGTCAAAGAACCGGTGAGAGGGAGGGTGGTAAAAGGTGAAGTCAGAGGAGTCCTCAGGGAAACCAAGGAAGACACAAGGAACGGCGCGAGGCGAGAGCTTGTCCGCGGAGGTGTCGCGGACAAGAGCCAAGCACCCCCAGACACGAAACCTCGACGCGACACCAGGGGACCCTGTCCAAAGACTGGTCGGTGAAGCCTCCGGCCGAGAGACGCGTGGCCAGAGGTTCAGCTGGTGCGCGGCGTACCTGACTGCGTATGGCCACAGGAAATGGGGGGCACGGGCGTGAGTCAAGGAGGTGCGGGCAATCTCCATGACCAGGCCTATGCGACGCTCAGCAACCCCATTCTGCTGTGGGGACTCCGGAAGCGTCCAGGACTGACGAATGCCCTGTTCGCGACAGAATCCAGCGAGAATGCCGGAGCGAAACTCGCCCCCGCGGTCGGAGTGGAGACAGCTGACACGACGACCACGAGTGTCCTGGGTGGTAAGCAACCACCTGATCAGCGTAGAAGTCACCTCAGACTTCCTCGCCAGGGGGAACACTGTGGTGTAGCGGGAGTAGTCGTCAACGACCACCAAAAAGAAACGCTCACGCTCAGGGCCAGGGCGAGGAGAGGGGCCCCAGACGTCCAAGTGCAGCGTCTCAAAAGGCTCGGTGGCCGGACGAAGGGAGGAGGAGTGAGGGGTGGCACGCAGCCTACCCTCGACGCAAGGACCGCACGGTGGTGCAAGGGACGGCGGCAGCGACGGCAAGACACGCGGGAGACCTAAGACCAGACGCTGACTAGACATAGCACGCAGACGTGGAAGAGAAGGGTGTCCCATCCGGTGGTGCCACAGAACGGTGGGGTGGGCAAGCGACCGACAGGAGCAAGACGCAGCGACTGGACTGGACGCGACAACCTGAGGGGACGGAACCACCTGGTGAGACGCAGGGAGGAGACTAGGGGGAGGGACAGGAACTGGGAGGAGTGGCTGCTGCGACGGCGGCCGCTGTGGCTGCGGCTGCGGCTGCTGCTGCGGCTGCTGCTGCTGCTGCTGCTGCGGCTGCTGCTGCTGCTGCAGTCGCTGCTGAGCGCGCGGGCCAGTGTGAAGAGTGTAGAGACCGGAGCCCGGCTCAGCAGCAAAAGTGGCGAGGGGCTGGTAAGAGTCCCCGTCAACACACACCGCAGTCTCTCCAGAAGGCTCAAACCACACACCCACGTGCTGACTCACGAGGGGTCGCACGCCCACCAAGTTCCGGGAGAACGAGGGGACGTGAAACCCAGTGAGAGACCCAGAAGGAGCAGCCGGACACGGCAAGGTGGTAGTGTGACGCGCGGTGACTGGTCCCGAAGTGGGATCAGCCAGCGCCACAGAAACAGGCGCAGGAAGAGGCGTAAGTGTCGTGCTGTCACGAAAGAAGCAGTGAGAGGCTCCAGAGTCCAGCGTGAACGACAGCGAACCGTCCTCTGAGGTAGCCGCTGGACTAGAGTCTACACAAGAACCTACACTAGCAACAGGCAACTGAGCAAGGCTAGCACCTAAGCTAACAACACCAGAGTAAGCAGAGTCAGAAACACTAGAGTCAACAACAGCATACATAGCATGGGGAGTACCAATCAGATCAACTAACTGCTCAGCAGACATGCCCCACAGAGCGGAGCCGTAGCGCTGAACAAGAGGCAGCCAGTCAGGAGTAGGAGCACCAACCCCGTAGACCAAACGAACCGTGTCAGTGAGCTGAGCAAAGCACTGACCAGGGGGGTGAAACCGGCCACAAGGGTGGCCACGACGAGTGCCTGTCAGAACCTGGTAGGTGCAGGGAGTGTAAGCAGCACCACGCTGGGTCTGACGCAGCCCCGACCCTGGAGCCAGCTGCTGCCGCTGCTGCTGCTGAGGCTGCTGGGAGGAGAGGGGCTGCTGGTGCTGCAGAAGCTGCTGCTGACGCTGAGCCTGGTACCACGCCGCTGCTCCACCAACCGGGGCAGGAAGTACAGGAGGCGACTGACGAACTCGGGCGTCGCCACCACCAGCAGGCGCAGTGGAGTCACCAGTCACTGCACGAGGCGCCTCTCCAGGCCCTGAACCTCCACCGCCGCCAGGCGCAACGCCACCTCCACTACCTCCGCCTCCACCTCCACTACCACCACCAGAACCGCCTTTCTTGCCACTCCTACCGCGGGACCGCGACGCAGTCGTAACAGCAGCTGCAGTCGCGTCAGTAGCGCCACCTACTGACCTTCAGTAATTTTGAAGCATCCATTCCACCTCATACCTTGTTGTTTCATTCGTTCATGTTGATGCCAGAATATTATGCTCGACCGTACGATCCGCCGTATTTATCGACGAGGTTGGGACGGTCGAGCAAGTTCATGGTTTCAACATGATACGTACATGCGTTGCGGTATTTGGTTTACATCTGGGGATCTCATTCAAGGGTGTATTTATCCATTATTTGAGGCATCCGTTTGAACACAGTTTTAAAACATTCAAACGGGTGCTCCAAAAGGTGCGTAAATACACTCTTCAAATGATATCCCCAAAATGTCAAACCAAATATAAAGGGTTGCTACGCAACCCAAAAAAGTTTTTTCCCTTATAGTTAGTGTTGTTGTACAATAAAAAGAAAAGGCATCTGCTATTTGAGGTGAACTAGCTGCGACACGGACAACACAACAGCAAGCAACCGACATGAAACCTCTCCTCCAGACAATGTCCCAATCACAACCATTCAGAACCAGCTCTTGTGTGGCGGCGATCGTTGTTCGCATAGTGTTTTCTACCCAGCAGTCGCGACGATAATGTTTCCGTTCACGACTGTCGCAACTAGCTGGGAGTTTATTTCGTCACTGTTGGGTCGCGACCACTATCGACCGAGCAGCGATGTTACGCGTTTTCCTGCCGTTTCGCTACGTTGAGACGCGGCGTAGAAACGCCACATGGAAATGCGGCTTTGCGTTGCAAAGTTCGGCTGAAACTTGCAAGTTTCATCAGAACCACTTCATTTCAGTTCATTCAGCTGCACTTTCCAAAACCACTTCCCATTCCCATTGACCTGCTTTTCCGAGCCTCGATGTTGTCTCGACGCACTCGAGCCGCATCCAGTGACAGTATCATCGAGCGTGCCGTGTATTATAGTGGCCAGCGAGCTCGAGGTTACACATGCATGTCGCCTGTCGCATTTAGGGATAGTCCCCCAGACGTGAGGGAGAGCCATGGTACAGTAGCATCATCTGGCGCTCATGCGAAACCCAAGCCTCCCGTCCGTCATTAGAGTTCATTTGACACTTCCGTGGCGCGCTCTCATCCCCGCTCCAACGGTTATTCCATCGAAGTGTGCAGATCTCTAGAATGCGAGAGGTGGGTGAAGGAGCGGGGGCGGAGCGGTTTGTGGAGCGTTCGGGAAACGTGACCTGCGTCCTCCCTATAAGATTCTCGCGATCAAGCATCCAACTTCGATTCACAACGAATGTGGGATATGGCGAGGGAAGAAGAACAATTTGCCTCGTGCTAACAGCTCGTCCATGCTGCTTCCTTCCTAGCCCTACCCTTGTGGCAAGCGTCGTCATCTTCCTACATCGTTTGTTCCATCTGACGGGAAACGTGAAAATTGCGCAAGCACGAGATTTTCCCTGCATTTTGAACGCTTTTCGTCTTCCCAGGTTGAACTGAGCGCTTCCTCGAGGCGCTGAATCTTATTCTTCTGCTCGCCACCAAACAGCCTGGATTCTAGGCTATTCCGCCCGTTGTGAGCTGCTAATCTATTAAGCGATCCCAGCCGTCGACATGAAGATCTGCGTGCTCCACCCGTCGTACGATGGATCGCTCTCGCCCTGCAACGGGCTCGATCCGGATGCCGTTCCCCAGCTATGGCTGGACTCGCCAGAGCACCACGTTACGTCCGTTCACCTCCATAAGGCAACAGCCGTTAAGCAGCTCATCGCGCTCACTCGCCGCCAGCAATCCAGTCGACAATTCGCGGGTAAACCACCATCGGGAGGGCAACTAGCCCCGGATAATGGACTACCCTCGTGCAACAACCCGCTTTCGCGGCAGGGCCTGACAGAAGCAGAACACCCGCCGCTGGGGCCGCTGGTCCTAAAAGACGAGCAGGATGCTAGTACCACGACGAGTACCATCAGTAATGGCGGTGGTGCTAGTACTAATCCTAATCCTCGTCCTATGACCAGTACTACTAGTTCTGCTGATACCACCACTCCACGCGATGCTCGTGTCAGCGGTGACATTTCCTCTTCCACGAGTTCAACAAGTTCCGCAAGCCGTGCTGCGAGCTCGAGCAGCAGCGACGGTTCCAGCGACGGCAGCAGCGCCGCGGATGAGGATGATACCACCGGTGAATCTGCATCGTTCGATGTGTTCCTGAATCTCTGTGACGGCGCATGGGACGAGGATCGGCCCGGGGTAGAGGTCGTGCAGGCTCTAGAGCGTCTCAACGTGCCTTTCACAGGGGCGGATTCCCGTTGCTATGAGCCCAGTAAGGAGCAGATGAAAATCGTGGCCGTTTATCACGGGGTTCCGACTCCTCCCTGGCGCGTGTGTTATGATTTGCGGGACGTGGAGGAAGCTGCTAGGGTGCTTCGTATGCCTGTGATTGTGAAACACGCGAGCGGGTATAACAGCGTGGGGATGACGCGGGATTCCAAGTGCGGGACTGTAGAGGAGCTGAAAACGCAAGCGGGTGTGATGATAACGAGTTTTGGGTCCGCTATGGTGGAGGAATTCGTGGCAGGGCGTGAGTTCACTGTGCTTGTATCAGAGGATCCTGAAGCGGAGACAGCAGCAGCAGCAGCAGCAGCAGCAGCAGCAGCAGCAGCAGCAGCAGCAGCAGAGCAGAAACCAGGCTCAGACCTGGAACACCGTTTTGCCAGTGCAAGATCCAGTGCAAGCGCGAAGCAGTCAGGCGGTGATGTATTTGTATACGCGCCAGTGGAGTGCGGGTTCCCTCCAGGGGAGGAGTTCAAGCACTTTGATCTCAAGTGGGTTGAGCATGAGGGGCTTCAGTGGCGGCGTGTGGATGATGAGGGCATGGATGCGAAGCTGAGGAGCATGGCTGCAACCATGTTCACTGCCCTTGGGGGTGTCGGCTATGGAAGGTGAGCTATGTCAATTTTTGTGACATTGCTGAAAGTCGGTGTGGTTTCAAGCGCAGTATGGCATGGTAATGGTGCGTGCGCAGTATGGCATGGTAAAAGGGGCGGATGGATGGTTCACTGGCATGGTGGGAGTTGTGTCTTTGATGATTCACAATATGCAATCTTGTATTTTACAACTTCCTATAGTCCTCTCCTTACTCTTGTTTTATTCTATTATTTCCCCCCCCCCCCCTCGATCTATTCCTCACTCTGTTGTCCTACACCTCTGCTGTCCATCAATCCCCTCCCATCCCAACACCGAACCTCCAGGCTCGACATCCGAGCCGATGCCGAAGGAAACGTCTACTTTCTCGAGATGAACCCCAACTGCGGCATCTTCTACCCTCCGGACCAGCAGGGAAGTGCGGACTTTATCCTCTCGCTCGACCCGTCCAACGACCACCGCTCCTTCCTGCGCCGCATCCTGCTGGCCGCTGTGCAGCGCTGGGAGCGCAGGCAGCCCTCTGTCCTCGTTAAGCAGTGCTCCAGTACACCAGCTACTCCCCAAACGAGCTCACCTTCCCCTGCTGCAGCACCTGCTGCGTCTGGTGCGGCTGCTGCACCTGCTGCACCTGCTGCACCTGCTGAAACCTCTGCAGTAGTACCTGCTTCCAATAACTCCCCGCTTACCTCAACTCTCCCTCCCAAGCCCGCTCGCACCTACACTCCCCCCAGCTTCGGGCTCTTTGCCGCCCGTGACTTTACCCCAGGTGACACAATCGAGCTCCTAGAAGAGGCCCCAGTGCACCTGGTGACACGTCAGCATGTGGAGAGGCACTGGTCGGCGCAGCAGCAGCTGTGGTTCCGGCAGTATGCGTGGCCGGTGGGGCCGGGTGTGTGGGCTATGTGGAGCCCCAGGGCAGAGGACTGGAAGCCTTTGAACCACTCCTGTGACCCGAACGCGTGGTTGGAGGGTCTGAATGTGGTGGCGCGGAGGGCGATAGGCAAGGGCGAGCAGATAACCGTCGACTATGCCACGTGAGTTGAAGACTCTTCAATTTGCCGGCGCTTTGGTAGTGTTTGATTTCGCGCTTTTTTTTTGTGGAGGGTGACTGGCAAGGGCGAGCAGATTACCATTGACTATGCCACGTGAGTGAGGAAGGGTTGATTCTTTTGGCGCTGTGGGAATCGTCACTATGCCTTGCTTGTTTTTTTCCAGGTGCGGTTGGCATTTTTTAGTGTGCCAAGTGGGTTGGGAAGGTTATTCTTGGCTAGGCTGTATAGCACAGGTGGCATGACGAAAAAAAAAAAAAAAAAAAATCTGTTTGTGGCCATTGCCTATGCCCTCTGCCCTCTGCCCTTTGCCCTCTCCCCTCTCCCCACTGCCCTCTGCCCTCTCCCCGCCCCATCAGCTTCTGTGTGTACAGCGAGCCCTTCCCCTGCTCCTGCAGCAGCACCAAATGCCGGGGCACCGTCACAGGCAACGACTACCTGGTGAGTGCACAGGACCACCGCCTTTTGAGACGCCTCAAAACTTCTGCAGCAGCACCATGTGCCGTGGCATTGTCACAGGCAACGACTACTTGGTGAGTGCACAAGACTGGCGCTAACTAGTAAGGCATACGCACGCACAGAATTGTGCTGTATGGTTGTGCTCTTTGGTTGTGCTGTACGGTCGTGCTGTATGGTTGTGCTGTATGGTCGTGCTGTACGGTTGTGCTGTACGGTTGTGCTGTACGGTTGTGCTCTTTGGTTGTGCTGTATGATTGTGCTGTACGAGTTGCCTGTTCTTCCTGGTAAGGGGATCGCAGTTGTGACCCCTACATGTGCTATACTGCGTCCCTATGCATGCCATACTCATCTGGCACACTCTGCTACTCATGCATACCTTCCCATAACCATCCCTTCCCACTTGCCTCACTTTTCATGCATGTGTGCCTGTCACAGGCCCCCTGGCTGTCTGCAGAGTATGGAGAGCACATGTCAGCGCAAGTGCAGTACCTCAGAAAGCAGGCCCAAGGATCAGTGGGTGGCACTTAGGAAGTATGGCAGTTAGGAAGCTATGCTAGAGAGTGCTTATCTTCATGTTGAAACCTGCAGTATGATTGCATTTGGGGCAATCTGCTATTTGCTACTGTATTTCCTTTCTTCTGTCTGGATGAGCTGTGTTTTGCTACCTAACCAAATGCATTGTGGTATGTCAGGCATCATGCTTACTTGAACAAATGGTGCGTTTGCTTCACTGCATGCATATTTGCATGGAAAGCATACAACAGTTGGACTCTCAGCTCCTACATTTACTGTATTGACTATGCAGCAGATGCCTCATGGGATGCGTGTTAAAATAGTAGCTACGATGAGGAGCCAGTGTTTACCTAGCTAGGCAAGAGAGAATTAGGCAAAAGAGGGTTTGACTAGAAAGAAGGGAGGTACAAATAGCAAGCCCTAAAAGGGTTTACTCACTATTGAGTACCCCACTACAGACTAGACAAGCATTATAATCTGACACACCCCCATAGTCAAAGTGGGGTATAATCAGCACAGCAAGCAGTCATAGTGCAGGTTCACAAGTTCAAGCAAAGCTAGAGGCATTCACAAAGGGCAAGTGAGGAGGAGGAGTGACTGTGAGAGGAGAAAAGATGAGAGGCGACGGCTGAAGTTGCAGACACACGGGCCACAGGAGCGGCTGGCTCAGTTGCTACCGGAGCAAGGGCCCCGGACTACAGGAGTAACAGGCTCAGACAGGAGCAACGGACCCACGGGCGACAGGCGCAGCAGGCTCTCTGGGCTACCAGCGGCAAGGGCCCCGGACTACAGGCGCTGCGGACGACAAGACTGCTACCTCCACTCAACCTCCCCCGACCGTCCCACACCCCTCTCACACACCCCTTGCTGCACCCCTAGCTCCACTCCCACGTCACCCCCCTAGCACCACTCCTTCGGCTCCCACACACCCACCCCCCTCAGCGACAGCTGCAGCAGTGGGAGACGGAGGAGGAGGAGAAGTAGGGGACGGCGCACACACCCTGCACCCCCATAACCGCCACCCCCACACTCGCCACCCCAAAACCCTAAAACGGGTGACATGGGGCACGAGCACGGGGGACGGCGTGGGGAACGGCGCGGGAGACCGCGTGCGGCACTCGAGCAAACTGCCCGGGCCGCGCGCGGGCCTGGCGCAGCCCGTACGGGCCGCGCGCGGGCCTGGCGCAGCCCGTACGGGCCGCGTGCGGGCCTGGCGCAGGTCGCGCGGGCCGCGTCGGGCGACGGGGGGCGACGCGCGGGTCCGCGGGCTCCGTGACGGGCGACGGGGGGCGCTTCGACGGGCGACGGGGCGGTCGACGGGAGGGGGGGAAGCGCGGGTCCCCGGGGTGACGCACGAGGGAGGAAACCGCCGCGCGCCTCGGGGCCACGGCGGGCAGAAAACCGCCGCGCGCCCCGAGCGCGCGGCGGGAAGAAAAAAACGAACATCGCGCGCCACGGGACGCGCGACACACAGGAAGGCAGCGGAAGCAGGCGGGCCCACAGGCCAGGAGCGTAACCGCTCTGATAGCATGTTAAAATAGTAGCTACGATGAGGAGCCATAGCTAGGGTTTACCTAGCTAGGCAAGAGAGAGTTAGGTAAAAGAGGGTTTGACTAGAAAGAAGGGAGGTACAAATAGCAAGCCCTAAAAGGGTTTACTCACTATTGAGTACCCCACTACAGACTAGACAAGCATTATAATCTGACAATGCGTTGTTGATATGGTTTGGCGAGCTGGAATGACTGTCCCGGAAGTACGCAACTCTCTCTCATTTTACTACTTTGCATGGATGCACCTGCACTACAGTGTTTATGCTGAATTCCCTGCAACACCAAATAAAATTTGCCAGCGCGATTACTGTGTCAAATATTATAGCCTGCAGTGGGTTGTCATTTATATGCATGTTTAGTTAGGTTAGGCTATATAGGAGTTAGTATTAGGGGGTACACAATTTCTCTCGACATTCTTGTACTCCCCCCCTTGACCTAATCACATCATCCTAGCCTAAGCCTTGTGACATGGAATAGAGCAAGAGGTCCTTATGACCTTAGAACTATTTCCTTTAGGGCCCACCTTAGAAACGCCTGTGGTTACCGCGTTACCCCGCGCCCGCCCTGCCCTACTCCGAGTCGCGCGGCCAGCCACAGCTGCAGCACGCATTTTCCTCTTTTTTTCTTGCGCGCTGCCCTGCCCGCTCTGCCCCCCGCGCGCTGCTCGTCGCGTCGCCCCGCAGCCCAGCTGCGCCCGCGCGCCGCACGCTGAGCCGCCCCGCAGCCCCGCGCGTCGCCATCCCCCCTCCCAATCCCGTCGCCCTCCCCCTTCTCACCGTCGCCCACCTCCTCCCCGCCCCTTTCCTACCATCGCGCCCTCCTCCCCGCCCCTTCCTACCGTCGCGCAGCCTCCTCCCCGCCCCTTTCCTACCGTCGCGCCCTCCTCCCCTCCCCTTCTCACCGCGCCGCCCGCCAGCCAGCGCGCCGCCCGCCAGCCAGCGCGCCGCGCCGCCCGCCAACCAGCGCGCTGCGCCGCCCGCCTGTCCACATGCCGCACCGCCTACCCGCCTGCACGCCTGCGTGCCTGCCTACACGCTACTGACGGTCTCCCCCTCTCGCGGCTGGCAGCCGCGCTCTCTTAGTTTCGCCCCTTATGGCGACCTCCCGAGTACTTCGCTTCTATCCTGAGGAGAGACCGATTGGCTTTAGTACGTGGCTTACTCAGCCGCAGCGCCACCTTAAGAGCCAGCGGCAGGATGGCGTGCACCTGTTCGCACACGCGTCCGGTACTCATATCGCCCCTCCACAGCCTCGGCCACTGCCCACTACCCCATCGCCTACTTCTGAGCAGGAGGCCGACTACCAGCGCCAGCTCCTCGCTCGTGACGTGTGGGAGTCTCGTGACGCCGCTGCCTGCCTCGCCCTGACCGACCTTCTCCCGCCGACAGAGGCAGTCCACTTCGCTCAGGTCGAGTCTGCTGCAGATCTGTATAAGGCTATTGTTGCTCGCTACTCCACACCCTCCTCTGCTTCGCTCAGTCGCCTCCTCGTACCCTTTATCTACCCTGACCTCGCCTCCTTTGAGACTGTCTCTGACCTCGCTACCCACCTGCGCTCTCTTGACGCTCGCTTTCGCGCTGCTTGCACTGAGGACCAGCTTGCCCTTGCCCCGCCCCCTATGTGGCTCACTATTCACTGGCTAGTCACTCGCCTCCCTGACCGCCTAGCCACAGCCCGCGACGCGCTTCTTCTGAAGCACCCCACTGAGCTTACCATCGATCTTCTTGAGACCGCTCTCTCGAAGATCGAGAGTAACCTCCTCACTGTTGCCTCTGCCTCTTCCGCGCCTCCTCCTCGTCTTTTTGAGGGGTGTGCGGTACCACAGCTTCCCACCTTCACTGCCTCACTTGCCACCCCCACGTCTTCTGCCTCTGAGGAGACGGCGGCTGTTTCTGTCTCTGGCGGACAGAAACGTGGCAAGGCCGGCAAGAAGGGCGGGAAGGGCGGCGGGGGTACTGGGGGTGGTGCGGGTAGTGGCGGCGGCGGTGGGGCAGGTGGTGGGAGGTGGTGGGGGTGGCTCGGGCCCTGACCGTCATCCTCTTGACGGTGGAGTTCTCACTGGTGGTGAGGGGTTCCAGCAGCAGCAGCAGCAGCAGCAGCGGCCGACTTCTCAGCAGCTGCCACCGCCTGGACAGCAGCAGCGGCAGGGACAGCAGCAGCAGCGCCCGCCACAGCAGCAGCCTCAGCAGTGGGGCCCGCCGCAGCAGTGGGGCCCTCAGCAGCAGTGGAGGTCTGTGGGTCCCCCGAGCACTGGGCGCAGTGGCGCCCCCTCCAGTCGGGGACCGCGCTCGGCCGGCCGCGACGTTGGTCCCTGTGAGTACTGGATCCTTACGGGTTTTCGTCGGGACTCGTACTGTGGCCGCCCAGACCACTCTGCTGCACGCTGCTTCAGTCGTCTCGACGACCTCTGCCACTTGCACCACGGCCCCTCCGCTCCCCCGCCGCCACGCTGGGGGACGCTGCTTGCTCGTGGTATTGCTGTTTTTGATATGACTATGGATGATGCTAGGTCTTATGCCATGTATGCTGATGTTGCCTGTACCTAGCTTAGGATCTTTGCCTGTTGCTAGAGTAGGTGCTAGTGTAGGATCTTGCTTAGCTACTAGTACAGGTACTCCCTCGGCGGACGCGTCTCTCTCCTTCACACTGGACTCAGGAGCGTCGCACTGCTTCTTCCGCGACTGCACGACTCTCTCTCCGCTACCGGCGCCTGTCCCTGTAGCACTGGCTGATCCTTCCTCGGGACCAGTCATTGCGACTCACGCCACTACAATCCCATGCCCAGCTGCTCCTTCCGGTTCCCTGACTGGCCTCCACGTTCCTACGTTCTCTAGGAACCTGGTTGGCGAGACAGCACGTCGGGGTCTGGGTTGAGCCTTCTGGTGACACCGCGGTCTGTGTGGACGGTGACACGTACGCCCCCTTGGCCACTTTTCGCCAGGAGCCGGGCTCCGGTCTGTACACCCTCCGCACCGACCCCCGTCAGGTTCCTCCGTCCCACCAGGTAGCCGGGTCCAGTCAGGTTGCTGTGTCAGGTGTAGTTGCTGCGTCGTGCTCGTGTCGGTCGCTTGCCCACCCCTCCCTCCTCTGGCACCACCGCCTTGGTCACCCGTCCCTCCCTCGTCTCCGCGCTATGTCCAGTCAGCGTCTTGTCTTAGGCCTCCCCCGAGTCCTTCCGCCGCTCCCGCCGTCCCCAGCTCCTCCGTGCGGTCCTTGTGTCCAGGGTCGGCTGCGCGCCACCCCCCACACCTCCTCCCTTCGTCCGGCCACCGAGCCCTTCCAGACACTCCACTTAGACGTCTGGGGCCCCGCTCCCCGCCTTGGCCCTGAGCGGGAGAGTTTCTTTCTGGTGGTCGTTGACGATTACTCTCGGTACACCACCGTGTTCCCTTTGGCGAAGAAGTCTGACGTGACTTATACACTGATCCGGTGGCTGTTCGCCACCGAGAGTACTCGCCGTCGTCGTGTCAGTTGTCTCCACTCCGACCGTGGGGGTGAGTTTCGCTCCGGCATTCTCGCCAGATTCTGTGCTGAGCAGGGCATCACCCAGTCCTGGACTCTTCCAGACTCTCCACAGCAGAATGGGGTTGCTGAGCACCGCATAGGCTTGGTCATGGAGATCGCCCGCACCTCCATGATCCACGCCCGCGCGCCCCATTTTCTGTGGCCCTACGCGGCTCGGTACGCCGCTCACCAGCTGAACCTCTGGCCTCGCGTCTCTCGGCCAGGGGCTTCACCGACCAGTCTTTGGACAGGGTCCCCTGGTGTTGCGTCGAGGTTTAGTGTCTGGGGCTGCTTGGCTCTTGTCCGCGACACCTCTGCGGACAAGATCTCGCCTCGCGCCATTCCCTGTGTCTTCCTTGGTTTCCCAGAGGACTCCTCTGACTTCACCTTTTACCACCCTCCCTCCCACCGGTTCTTTGACTCTCGTGACGTCCGTTTCGACGAGTCCGTCCCCTACTACGTCAGGTACCCCTGTCGAGGTCTCCCGGTTCCCCCCCCTCCCCTCTTCCTGGCTCCAGCTCCTCCTCCTCCCGCCCCTGCTCCTCCGGTACCCCCCCCTGTTCCCGCTCCGTCTGGTGTGTCCCACGCTACTCCCCCTCCCTCGGTACCCCCCCAGGTCTCTCCTCCTTCCCCACAGTCGTCCTCACAGCCTCCGCAGCAGCCGCCAGCGCTTCCTCTACCGGCCACTGCGGACTCTGAGGGTGTTGGTGCTTGTTCTGGGGGTGCTGGCGTTGGAGCTGTTCGTGCACCTACAGGAGCCGCCCGTTCTGGGGGTGTTGGCGTTGGCGCTGAGCGTGCACCTGCCGCGGCTGCCCGTTCCGAGGGTACTGGAGCTGGTGGTGGTGCTGGAGCTGGTGGTGTTTCTGGAGCTGGAGAGTCTGGAGACGGTGCTGGTCCCACTGGAGGCACCACGACTGGGGGTGCGGGTACACCTCCTACAGGTACTGGTCGTGCTGCCGCAGGGGGTACTCGCTCTGGGGGTGCTCAGCCGGGTCCTGTCGAGGGTGGAGCCGGTTCTTCTTCGTCGTCTCCTGACACCACTCCTCCTCCTCACCCCTACCCGACTCGACACCAGGCCCGTCTTCGTCTTGCGCGCGAGGAGCAGCAGCGTGTGGAGAGTGAGAGGTTGGAGGTTCAGCAGCGGGTGGAGCGTGAGAGGTTGGAGTTGCAGCGAGAGCAGCAGCAGCAGCAGCAGCAGCAGCAGCAGCAGCAGCAGCAGCAGCAGCAGCAGCAGCAGCAGCAGCAGCAGCAGCAGCAGCAGCAGCAGCAGCAGCAGCAGCAGCAACAGCAGCAGCAGCAGCAGCAGCAGCAGGGCCGCCGCCGCAGCAGAAGCAGCAGCAGCCGGAGCCCCCTGTTGCTGGCCTTCGGACTCTTGGTCTCCCCTCCTCTCCTCCTGTGTTCGGTCCTACGTTTCCTCCTCCGGACTCAGCTCCGGCTGTGTTCCCTCGTTCTCAGTCTCCTCCGTCTCCCTCAACTCTCGCCCACACTTGGGCGCCTCGTTCTCCTCGTGCCCGTCCCTCGTCACCTGTCACCGACCTTCGTACCGTGTTGTTTCGTCCTAGTCCTCCTCGTTCTCCTCAGTCTGTTCTTCCCCGTCCGCCTGAGTCGTCCCTTACTGCCTCCCTGTCCACTCCGGCCACTGACTACTACCGCACATACCGCCCCACACTCTCTCGTGTTCTTGCCTCTCTTGTTACAGACCCTCGTGCCTCTCCTTCCTCCGTCGCGGTCCTCACTGCCGCTGTTACTGACTTTACTGCTACGCGTCGCCTTGACTACGCCACTCGTGTTGTGGCCGCTCCTCCTGTCCGTCCTCTGTCCGCCAGGGGTGAGTCTGCCCTTGGCTGTGACGTCCTAGAGGACAGACAGTTTGAGCTAGAGTTTCTGGCAGCTGCTTCGCCTCATCTGTGTGCCATGCTCCTCGCTCCTGAGGGAGATCATGACACTCCTTACATACCTACTCCTCGCACTTATGCTGAGGCAGTGTCAGGGCCTTGGGCCTCGAGAGCTGCCATGGACGCAGAGATGGCCTCCTATAGATCCACAGGCATTTACGTTGACGAGGTTCCACCCCCAGGGGCGAACATCGTTGATGGCATGTGGATCTTCAAGGTGAAGCGGCCGCCGGGATCTCCCCCAGTCTTCAAGGCACGCTACGTGGCTAGAGGGTTCAGTCAGCGCGAGGGGGTTGACTTCTTTCAGACCTTCGCGCCCACCCCGAAGATGACTACTCTTCGGGTGTTACTGCACGTAGCAGCGCAGAGAGACTACGAGCTACACTCTCTTGACTTCTCCACTGCCTTCCTCCAGGGCAGCCTACACGAGGAGATCTGGCTGCGTCGTCCTCCGGGCTTCACTGGCACCTTCCCGCCTGGGACCCAGTGGAGCCTCAGACGACCGGTCTACGGTCTCCGCCAGGCACCCCGTGAGTGGCACGACACTCTCCGCTCTACTCTCTCCGACCTCGGGTTTGAGCCGTCTTCCGCCGACCCGTCGTTGTTTGTTCGTCGTGGGCGCACACCTCTACGTTGACGACTTGGTCTTTGCCACAGCCGACACAGCTGCACTGGCGGAGGTGAAGTCCGAACTGCAGAAGAGACATACCTGCACTGACCTTGGGGAACTGCGCCGCTACCTTGGCTTGCAGATCTCCAGGGACAGAGCCGCTCGCACCATCACTCTGACTCAGTCACACATGGTGCAGCAGGTCCTTCAGCGGTTCGGGCTTCAGCACTCTTCTCCTACACCCACCCCTCTTGCTATAGACGACAGACTCACTGGGCCTTTTCCTGACGAGCCGTTCGAGCCCAGTGGTCCCTACGCAGAGCTGGTGGGCTGCCTCATGTACCTGATGAACTGCACTCGCCCGGACCTCGCCTTCCCTCTTAGCATCCTTTCTCGCTTTGTTGCGACTGGGAGACACCGTCCTGTTCACTGGACGGCTGCTAAGAGGGTGGCGAAGTACCTCGGCGCGACATCAGACATGGGGCTTGTACTTGGAGGGACACAGCCAGTTGTACTCACCGGTCACTGCGACTCCTCCTACGCCGACGACGTTGAGACTCAGAGGTCTACGCAGGGTTACTGTTTCAGCCTAGGCTCTGGAGCTGTTTCGTGGAGGTCTACTCGGTCCTCCTCTGTTGCGACTTCTACCGCAGAGGCCGAGATCTACGCTGGAGCCCTCGCTGCACAGGAGCTACGCTGGTTGACCTTCTTGCTCACTGACCTTGGTGAGCGGCCGAGCTCTGCATCGACCTTGTTTGCAGACAACAAGGCGATGATTCTCCTGTGTCGTGAGCCTTGACTGGAGAGCAGAGTGAAGCACATCAACGTCAGGTACTTCCTCCTTCGGGAGTTGCAGAGACGCGGTCAGGCACGTCTGGACTTCGTGGCCTCCGAGGCCAACACTGCAGACATCTTCACCAAGGCTCTTCAGCCTTGTGACCACCGTCTGTTTTTTCTGCAGTTAGGTCTCGTTGAGACTGGGTCTAGTAGACTGCAGTAGTGATTTCTTGCCTCTTGTTTGCTTGTATCATATATATTAGCTTGTACACTCCTGAACTGGCCTTGTGGCCCCTTGTTTGTGCTCAGACTGTGTGGTGACGTTGTGATCCACCCTGAGCTGTGTTTTCTCTCTTGCTTGTGACTGGTCTTGTGACCTTAGGTTGTGTTTTTTGTTGCTTGGCATTCCCCACTTAGGCTATGGGGGTGTGTCAAATATTATAGCCTGTAGTGGGTTGTCATTTAAACGCATGTTTAGTTAGGTGAGGCTATATGGGGGTTAGTATTAGGGGGTACACAATTTCTCTCGACATTCTTGTACTCCCCCCCTTGACCTACCCGGCAGATATGTGGGGATATTGCAGTAAAACGTCATATTTTTAGCTTATGCGCCAAAGAATAATCACGGTTAATTATATACAATGCTTCTAAAGGCACTGGAAAAAATAGACCCTATGGCTGCATTAGCCACCTGAAAGCCAGCAACTTATTCTGACCCACGCAGGTCAAGTCAACATTCAGGAGTAGGGGGTACAACAGATTCCCCTTTCGTGTACTAGGCTTGGAATGGAAGAATCTGCTTTGCAACCAGTCTCCCGCATGCCCAGACCAGAACAGTGCCTTATGACGTGCGTGCCCCTCCCCATCATCTCCTCATGAAATGTCTTTGAACCTGCTGCGCTCCCTGCTCCACCACCCCCCAGCTGCGAATGCACATGCGCCTTCCAGAATCATACGCCGTAAGCCCATGAGCGTGAAGCCTTTCTGCCCTGGTTGCTCGACCTCTCACCCCTCTGTTCTGCACCGCAATGCACCCAAGCTTCTCGCAGGTCCGGCCCAAGCCACCCAGGCTCGGAGGAGTGTCCCAGATGCCCGTGTTGCTGCCAGCAGGGAAGAGCCTTCTGTCTAGGAAGACGACCTTAAAGCCATTGTTCCACCGGCACAAGTCCTGGCCAGCCTGAACCAAGGAATGAAGGAGACAAAGCCAGGGAGGGGAGTGGATGAGTGTGTGTGGAGGGGACGAGGGAGAAGGAATCGAAGCAAGATAAGGAAGAACGAGCACGGTAGAGCCAAAGACAAGCAGTTATGCCAACATGCAGTGGAGAAAGCGCCTTCAAGTAGGAGCTTACCTTGAATCTGCCGCCCTCGCCACATAGCACATCGTGAAACGCCTTATATTCTTCCACTTCCTCCTCGCCCTCCGCTCCACTCCCACCTGCACTCCCTCCCTCCTCCCCTGCCTCCGCTCTCACAGCAGCTGTATAAGCCACCACCGAGGCCAAAGCCTTGAGGGAGAGGTGAGAAGGCCGAGCAAACATGACCCCAGCGCCAATGATCCGAGCAGAGTTGGGTGCTTGACGCATGTTGGGTGACATGCTCTGCACGGCTAGAGTGTTGGAGTCTAGGGAGAGGAGGTACGGGAGGGGGTTGGAGAACCAGACTGTGTGGACATCAGCCCATAGGACGGAATAACCTAGGCGGAGAATCTGCATCATCAGGACTGGGGCGACTGCGGCCAATCGGGAAGCAGAGGACATGTCGTTTGATGATGCAGCATTCGCGGACTGATTGGAAATTGATGCCTGGTGCATGAACACGGGGATGCCTTGAAGAAAGGCATATGCGTACATGCGCGCATCCAAAGCGGCCAAAATGTAGCTGCCCATCCCAAGGTTGCGCAATCTGCAGATACTGTTCATAGCAGCCTCCCTGTCTTCAAACGAAGCTGCTAATAAGATGACCGCTTGCTTCTCGCCCGCAACGATTGGCAGCAGCTGCTCCAGCGAATGCGGCAGACCCTCACTACCCCTCCAAAACGCCACGTGAGCAGATGTACGCGCTGCAACCTGATTCCCCTCCGACGTGGAGGCCTTCTTTCCTTTTGTCGAGTGACTCATACCGTCCCTAGCAGAAAGTGTAGCTTCGGCGACAGCTGCAGTCAGCGAATTATTTTTCGCCACGGTTGGCTCAGTTTGGGTCGAAGATGGCAAGCGAAGCCCACCCATGTCTTCTAATCCTAGAGCGAATTCGTCTTCTAGTGAGGATAGACTGGGATCCGCGCCGTGAGGTCCTGACCGCAAGTCCCGGAGAAGATCTGCGTCTAGATTCTGCTCCATCCCTGTTCCGCCGCACGATAACCAGTTCGCGTCGAACGGCCGCGTGTCGCCCGTAGACCTGCCCGCGAATGGCGTGTGTTCGCACGAGCAGTTACCAGGTCGGCGACGTCGCATAAGACACATGGATTCACCTGGAACAAAACGAGCGGGAATATTGATCAGATTAGACGCCGAGCTAGCAACGGCACAACGTTTGCCAGAAAAACGAAGTAGCACGATCGAACGCGAAAATCGCATGACGTGTTTGATTCATCATCAGATCAATGATTTCATACCTCCAGGCACGAAGCAGGGAGCGAGTCGCCAGGGCGCGTGGCTCAACGAACCGCCTTCAATGCTTAAGCCTCCAGCGAGCCGCTGGATCCGAGCCGTGTGCGCATTCGCGTACACCTCCCACCGCTTCGCGTTTTTCCCGGGCAGCGGCTGCCACAGCGCTCCCTGCCCGAAGGAGGACGACTCGGCGGAAAGTGACCCTTTTCCGCTGCTGTGGTGCGATCTCCCCGCGTGCGCGCTCTCCGCCCCACCTAGAAGCCTCCGCCTTTGCGGAACCTGCCGCGGCGAAATCGAGCGCGCGAGCCGCGACACGAATCCAGCCTTCTTCCTCCGGCCGCCAGTTCCGGCGCTATTTTCAGCGACGCCTGTTTCGCCGCGACGTTTCTCGACGACGAGTTGGGCCTCCCGCTGCGCGTCCAACGCGGAGAACACGCGCACCGCCGTCACCGCATCTGTTGCATCAACCGCGTGTCGCGACTCCGGGTCGTCCCGCCACGCCGCCGCCGGCACGCCAGCCTCGTCACCCGCCTCCAGCTCCGTCGCAGCGCGTCCAACTTGCGCCGTGACGTTACCGTCACTGTTACCGTTAGTACCGTTGGCGGCGGTGGCGGAGAGGGAGCCAGCGGCGCGCGCTACGAGCCAGCGGAGGTAGCTTCCGCGGCCGAGGAAGAAGGGCGGGATGGCGATGCTGGGATGGAGAAGCGGCGCCGCGGGACGGTTCCACATGAGGACGGTCGCACCTGCCGCCACGTTCAGCTGCCCGCGTTGGCGGACGTAATCTCGTATCTCCTGCTCGTTGACCCCGTTGACCTCGCCAGAGTCCGCCTGATCCGGGCTGTCCCAAACCCGCGCAGATCGGCGGCGCCGGGTGGAGAAAGCGCCGCTTGACGGGGCGGGCGCAGCAACGTGGGTGGGGAACCTGTCGCGAGATGCGGCTGAGGAAGACGAAGGGTGGATGTGCGGAGGGAGGCTGTCGAGCGAGAAGCGGAAGGTGTGGACATCCCAGGGAGCAGAGAGTGTAACGAAGGAGGAAAATCGCGACGCGAGTCGGCGCGCCGCGAATAAGACGTCGTTAAATAGGAGCACGTCCGGATCCACTAGCACCACTAAGTCACAGTGGGGCGACGCGGCCGCGGTCGACGCTGCGCCGAAAGCTTGGATGCGCGCAAGGACTGAATTTAGAAGCGGCGTGCCTTCGAGATTTGTGTCCACGTCAGCATCCACGCTCACGTGGTTCGGAAACTCCGCCGCCACCGACGCCAGCGACGGGTGCGTGCCGAGCAGAACGACGCGCGGCGTGGGATCGAGTCGCAACCACGACATGATCGCGCGGCGATGCGAGTAGGAAGAGACGTTGTAGGCAGTTGGCGCTGAGAAGATGGTTACGCGCGGACACTTCGACGCGCGCGAGGAAGAAGGGCGCGCGGAAGCAGAAGTTTTCACATTCAAAGAATTTGACGGTACAGACGCTTCGCCAGGTTGCAGTAGAAGTCGTTCCACGGTATTCGTCGCACGCGTCGTCGCCGTCTCGTCGCAGCCGCCCCATGCTAATCGCGAGCAGTGCTGGCGCCCGGCGCGATGCCAGCCGACGAAGGACGTGAGCGAGCAGAGCGCGATGAGGCAGACGACGACACACTGCGCCCGGGCGATGCGGGAGGAGGAGAGCGAGGAGCAGAAGGCTGAGCAGAGGAAGCACGCTGCGGACTCAGTAAACGTGGGCTGGACGGTCATGGCGGAAAAGGATCAACTCCTGAGGAGTAACCGACTTGATAACCTGTCACTTGGGCGCAATTGGTGCGTTGAAGTGATGCTGGAACTCCGCGTACCAAGAGGAACCTTTTTACCTATCAAATAGAAATGAATTGTGATTGAATGTGGCAGAGCCTCAGGCTTACTTACACGCGGGTCCTAGTTCTGCTGGGTGCGGCTGGAATTGTGTGACTAGACTAACTACGCAATTCTGATCAACTCATGCGAAACTGACTAGGCACGCAGAATTTGGATCCGCCAGTCCAGTGCGAGAGAAGACATGCCACTAGACTTAGGGCGAAGTCAGGTTGTACACATCTCGCAGATGTTCAGTTCTTGTATCGTGGCTCAAAATGGTTCCATACGTTTCAAAGCGGTTCTGCAGGCTGACCGTGACAAAACGAACTTGAGCGCACATAAGCTGTACAACCTGACGTCGCCCTTAGTTCAGAATATGTGAGGTGGCCCACTTGTTCAGAAAATTGACGCGAAAAAGGCCTGGTGCTGCTAGTCAATCATCCGTACAGGGAAGATTAGTCAAGCGGAGGAGGTGAACTGACAGTTGACTTGACTGTGAGGAGAGGAGTTCGCTTGCTGGCGGTACAGAGTTTGCTCAGCCTATCGCAAAAATTTGCTCCCACATTTAGAAAATCAGTCACTCGCGAACGTTTTGCCTGTGAGTGGTGATTGTGCTGATTTCGGGGTACAGTCACCAAGTCGAGGAAGAAAAACATCTACAGTTCATAAACAACAACGGCTGCCCGTCACCAGACGTGTTTACCTGGTTACGAACTTAAACCCCTAGACTCGTTTCACATTCCAATTTCATTTTACAATCACATTTTTGCCCGTGGCGACAAGGGCGAATGTGGCGACATGCCGAAAACGCGTTTCACTCACATGCCGCCCGCCTACCTGGTGTTCTTGAAATGAGCACCGACTGTACAAGTGCTGCCCTTTCTGTCCAACGACGAGAAATGTCGCACGAGATCTGCGAATGGGGGTGACCATAAGTGTACACCTGGAGGACAGAGACCGTGGATGACCAAGCGAATTCTTCATTCCGCAGGGGCGATGGAATGGGCAAAGATCATACTCGGGCCGGAAAACAGCAGGGAAGTGGCCAATTTAGGGCCGGGTGAGTCGCGCCCCTACAATGTACGCCCGAAGCAGCGCACAGACCTGCCAGAGCAGTTCGGGCCTGGCCTAGGCGCCAGGTCACACCTATCGAACTGGCCCCGACGGATTTCGTTAAGTAGGGGTGACGGAGCTGTAAAACGCATTACACAGTTTGAGCGAGATTGTGAGAGGTTCCCCACCAAACGAGAACAGTATGTAGGAAAACGCATAAAATATTCACTTAAACTGGGAAACCATTTAACACATGACACAACTAGTCATAAATGTAACGTTTAGATTGATAAATGGAAACATGCTTTTAGTTAAAATCCAAAAACAGAATGCGTTTACAGCACACATGCCATATATTCACATATTACAACATTAATCTAGATAAATTAAATAAAAAATATTTTCCATCACATTCATTCATACAGTGATATATATATATGTATCTATATATACATGATATACATGCTAACTTTCAAATGATTTACAATAGATTTACATATGTGATACTCCTCTCACTCTCTCTCTTCCCATAAATAGCAACTCTCTACACCTCTCTGTCTCAAGCAATCTTGTATTGGTTTGGAGAAAGGTACAGGCATGGCAACCCTAGGTTTCCAACCTGCCATGCCTGTACCTTTTTCCAAACCAATACAAGATTGTTTGCGATGGAGAGGTATATAGAGTTGATATTTATGGGAAGAGAGAGTGAGAGAAGTATCACACAGATAAATCTATTGTAGCTAATTTTGAAATTTAGCATCTATGTCATATAAATATATAGATACATATATATATCACTATATAAATGTGATGGGAAATATTTCTTTATTTATTAGATTGATGTTGTAATATGTGAAGATACTTTCTTAGAAAATGACATTGTGTGTTGTAAACGCATTCTGTTTTTGGATTTCAACTAAAAGCATGTTTCCATTTATCAATCTAAACGTTACATTTATGACTAGTTGTGTCATGTGCTAAATGGTTTTCCAGTTTAAGTGAATATCTTATGCGTTTTACTACATACTTTTCTCGATTGGTGGGGAACCTCTCACAATCTCGCTCAAACTGTGTAATGCGTTTTACAGCTCCGTCATCCCTACTTAACGAAATCCGTCGGGGCCAGTTTGATAGGTGTGACCTGGCGCCTAGGCCAGGCCCGAACTGCCCTGGCAGGTCTGTGCGCTGCTTCGGGCGTACATTGTAGGGGCGCGACTCACCCGGCCCTAAATTGGCCACTTCTCTGCTGTTTTCCGGCCCGATTATGATCTTTGCCCCGATGGGATCATGGAATGGAACGGAGGGATATGGAATGGGATCGAAACGGAAGGGGAGGCGGTTCGTCCGACACCAGCGTCCAGCTACATGGCATGCCTGCCAGTCACCCGTAAGTAACCTGTCGGCTGTTCCCTGATCGCTGGTGTGGTCAGATGGGATTGGATGGGGGAAGCGCGCTGGTTGCTGATTAGTCAGGTCGGGAGAATGAGACCAGGCGCTGCGGAATGGGACGCCACTCTCAACTGGCCAGGTGTGTATTGATCGGGCATCGATTGGACAAGCTTCTATTCTGATAAGGGAGGCTCGTGCATGTACGTTCTTGAATTACCCTTTACAACCATTTGAAAACCAGAGATAAAGCTCTCTATTGTACCAAGCCTCATTGAGCCGCATCCTGACATGCTTTCAGGACTCACAACATACAGTACTTGCACAGTACACTTTGCACAGCCCACTGACGGAGCAATTTGTGTGCGACAGTGGTCGGTCAAAAACGATGCCCAGCCTGCCACTGCCCATGGGATTTGCTTGTGGGGTCAGTTGGACATTGGCAATGAACTGCAGGGTCGAATAAGGTTATATCAGAGTACAAAACAACACAATTCTGGCTTGCTCAGAACGTTACCCTACACTTACAAATGCAGTCACCAGTGAAACTCACTCAATCAGCCCGCAAGAAACTTTTCGAATACTTGTTAAGAAGCTAATGCGAAGAAGCTAAAAGTAGGCGGTGCCATATCGATGTTGGCAACGAACTCTTGACAAACAATCTGTGGGAGCGCAGGGCCCATTTGCTGCTATAAACATGGAGCAAGAGAGACTTTAGCGAGGGTAATTAACCACGAGCAACATAGGACGGAAGGGGAGGGGAGGGAAGACCCCTCATCTCATCACACCTGCAAACGTCAGCCGATCGCGGGAACGAAACCGTCGACGCATGACTACCTTTGTCCAGTGCAATACAACAAAATGACAACGGTGTCAAGTTCTCAACACACAAGGCCATCGTTCGCGCTATCATAAATTCCAGTACTCATCTCAAATATTTGTTATTAGAAAACCAGTGCGTCAAAGTTGGTGCTATCAACCACATTATAGTCAACTTTGCAGCAACGCAATGCGATATGTTTAAGCGCGCTCTGTGAACTCTTTGGGATGACTGTGTAGTTTATCTAGCGATGGTTAATCAACGTGGCTCATATAACGGTTAATCAACGTGGCGCGTACAGACAAGAAGCAGTGAATGCTCGTGCGGTTTCTACAAGCGGAAAATGTTACGAATGATAAATTAAGAAAAGGGACTGTGCACTCCTGATAGTAGGAAACGAAGCACATGGTACCGAGGCTGGAGACAAATAGTCAAAAATGATTCGAAGCGACGCAAATTGTTGGAGAGCATCTGGACCGTCGGATTAGACAGCATCGGGCAGCTTCAGGAGCAAGGAAAAGCGCGGGAATAGTTTTGTAACTGTATGCGCTACACAGTTGGGCTTGAATTCGACTAGAGAAATGTACCCCTTAGAGTACATGGCTAGCTAGGACGATTGGTATTCCTCTACACTACTATTCATATAAGTGTATTTGCATGTTTTCAATCATCTCATTACATTCACTCTGATTTGAGGTCAAGGGCCCACCACTACCCCACACTTTGTGCGAACCTTCCCGAGGTGATCCTGGTTACGATCTACTTTCTGATCGCAGCATGGTATGAGAGCGGATAATTCCTAAGCGCGTCACAAAAGCCTCGCCCCTCAAACGACTAGATACAGTGCGGTGTAAATGTTCGATTCGTATGTGTAATGCAGTGCAGAGCGACACGTAGGTTTTATGACGGGATTAAGACACTTGTGTCCCCACAGGAATGTTCCCTGAGAGCGACTCGGGAATCCTTTGCAACGACGCCACCGAAAAGTTCGGTGAACGAAAAGTGGCGCCCGGTACGCGCTCGCGCGTAAGAATGGCCGGTGGATGTGGAGGTAAGATGAATCTGACCGTTGAAGCGCAGCCCAACCTGGTTGCAACAAATGAGGAGACGCCGACGATCGGGACCGCCGTCCTCGCACAACTGCTTCAGCGATTCACTACCTTGGAGAAAGGACTCCAAACATTGCGGAAGGGCGACGCGGTAATATCTTTTGAACCCTCTCAACCGGCTTCATATG